TGCGACATCCGACTGCCAGTTGAGGCCACTTATGGTGATGTTGGGGGAGAGGCTTGTGGTGTTAAAAGCACAGGAATCGCAAACACAACACCGATCTCCGTCCAGACACGTCGACATATCGTGCTTCGTGCAATGCCAGTCAGGCTTCAAGGAAACACATAGTGCAGTCTACGCAGTGTCTCACCCTAAGCATGACACTGCCACCATCAAGCGGTTGGAATGGAGACGCTCTACTACATCCTCCTGCCTGACGTCGGTCTGTGCTGATCAACGGATTCGCACACTACTGAGGAGAAGGAGGTGGGCGACACGTTGTGCTGCAGTGTCGTCCAGACATGCATACTCGCGCACTCACCACCCCAAAATTCACTCTCCACGCTTCCCACTTGGCGGAGGCGTGGTGGGCGCGACAATAGGCGATGCTATCTTGAAGTGGTCGCACTCGCTACCCCTACCAACATCGTCTCCTGGAGTGGCGTTGGCACCGCACATCAACCGGTGCAGCCACACACACGACAAAACAAGATTAGTAATGACATACGCAAACTGTGGACCACAGTACCACTCCACTGGTGGCTGTCCAACCACTGCCTTCACGGGAACTGTCAAACTGACCACTTTCAACACCACCAATTACTCGCAGCCCATCCACACTCTCGTCACTCGAGCATCATCGTCACCATTCGGCTCAATGAGGAAGGCTTGAGTCCACACTAAAACTGTCACCACATGTCACAGACCAACTTCCCAACACGCCATCCACTTTGTGCAGTTTTCATTTCCGTCTGCATGCTCATGTGCATGCATGGCAGTGTGATTTCATGGTCCCTATCAGCTTCCTCTTCCCTCTTCCATCATCACCACCACCACCACCACCACCACCACCACCTCCGCCTCCTCCTGCTTCACCTGCTCTTCGCCCTACTCTGCCTGTCTCCCTCAACCCACATTCATCCATACACTGTTGCATCAACTAACGCGATGGGTGAGAGTGCAGTGTGTCGGGTACGAATGAGTGTTGTGGTTGGGAGGTGGGCAAGCAAGACAACTACTACCCACACATGCTCATGCCTATGCTAACTCTCACCCACCACATTTGCCCCTCCTACCTCCGAGTCAAGTGCATCCCCTCCTCATGACATCGTCCACTGGTGGCGGGCAATTCAACGCCACCAAAAGCATACACACACACACTAGTACCACCTTCCCTCCCTCCCCCCCACCCATTTCTACGCCTTCCCACTTTACTCACTCTCGTACGCAATGCTGCGTGACAGGTGGTAGTATGTTCCCTCCCACCACTGATTCACCTTCTCCCAATCGAATACACAATGCTGCAATTGGTTGGACATACACACACTCATTCCATGTTGTAGTGGTGGGTGCTATCCACTCGCGGAGCATGCTGGGTGGCATTGGCACTCAACATGACGTACTTGTCACCAGCCGCAGGTGCACGCGAATGTCGCTGCTCCTACGTCAACTGTCACGAGGTGGAGTGGTCATGCCGCAATAGGGCGTTCCGATCCCCTGATGTGCCTCACGTGTGTGACATCAAGGTCATGTCAAATATGAGATGTGTAGGTCGTGCGTGCCAAAGTGAAGGTGCCGATGTGGCACTCAAGGTGGAGTGCACATTTATGATAATTTGAAGTCTTGTGGGAGTGGGGTGGGGTGTGGTGGGGTGAGGTGAGGTGAGGGCAGATGCGAGGGTAGATGGGGTGGGTTGTGAGGAGGGGAGGGAAGGGAGGGTAAGGGAGGTGAGGGGAGGGGAGGGAGGAGAGGTGATGGGGAAGGGAAAAGTACAATGTGAGTGTGGCAGTGAGGTGAGAAGTGTTTGTTTTGAAGGTCGGGCACTAGTGGATGCACTGTTTGATAGCATGAAAATTGTGCACGCCCTTCCGTCCGCTTCACCTCATCTTCCCCTGCTGCTTTCCTACATCTGTTTTCTAGGCTTCCTACACGTAAAAAATGAACAAGATATGTTCCGACAGGAATGAAGTTCTGGCTGTTGTTGCCTTATGCTCCATCTTCTTAGTTACTACCTATTTATTATTCTTATTTTTCTACAACCCCTCGCACTCAGTCACCCTCCGTGCCACTGACAACCCATCCAGCGAATTGGTCTTCACTCAACCTCAAAAGATTTATTTGCATGAATACTTAAGCCTGAACGACCGCACCTACACTTCAAAACACGAGTGTTCCATAAGGAACAACTTCGGAAGTGGATTAAACGTGTTTTCCACCTATCCTTTTGACTAATCGGTTTAAAAGTCACTTCTCAATAACCGTGAATCAACTTGTCACTCAATTAATCACCTATCAGTCCAACATTCAACAATTTTTTTTAACACTAACACAACAGCTCTTCCAACGTTTGAAACCACCATGAAACCTTTAATTAAGGCAACCGCAAGAATCACTTTGACCTAACCTACGGGGCATTATTGGTAAGCATGACCACAAGGTGACCTGTAGAGGACGCAAATAGTCCACACTTTCTCCAATGTACTAGTGGTGCTTAAACGTCCAGCACAACAGAGAAAGAGCAAAAAGAAAAGAATAAATAAAAGGAAGTTAAACATTGCTCCTCACACACAAATTCTGACTTCCATCAACAACGAAAATGCACTTTCAAGGGCATTAGTGCTGCCTCTGTTGGAAGTCAATGAATATCAGCATTGAGACTGCCTATTGATAGGCTTTTTCATTTCCTTGTCCTTTCAACTCACCTTTTTTGCCCCGTTCTCGCTCTCGATCTCCTGCGCCTTGTTGGGATGATGCATGAAATGGCCATGACAGTTATGCGCATTTGGCCTAACCTCGGTGCTTGTCTCATAAATTACGCTTTACCACATCACACCACTAGTCCAGGAACGCTCACCAGCAAGGATGTACAGAATGGCAGCTCAACTTATAATGGACTATTTGCATTTTTTAGCACGAGTCTCGACTCGTCACAGAGGCTGTTGAAGAGGCTAAGATGTCTGTGGTGAAGCACAAGATGTGGTAATTTGCAGGAGGAAAATGAGCAGTGAACTTTATGTCCAAAACCTGACGACATCAAGCCAAACAGTGCTAACAAACCTGACACACTTAATTTGTTGACTGAGAAAGTGTTGATTACTACTGCTATTTCGGTTGATACCACTCAATGTGTTCTCTGAGAGGTCAAATTTTCAGCTTTTAAATGCAAATTAGTGGGTGGCTTTGCATGAAATTGGAATCTGAACTCCCCGAAAGGGAGGCCACAAAGGCCATCATTTCGACAGGAATAAAGGCGATGAGATTAAAATTGGAGCACTTGAAGTGTCCCTCAAAGGAAAGCAAACAGGAGGGCTAGTTTAACACCGAACTACAATACGCAAATACACAGTTATGAGAACTCCTTTATCAGTTCATTTATTTGGTCAAGAAAACGATGATATTTACCGCCATGTTAGATGACATTCTTCCCTGAGTTTCCCAAGAGGCTTCGTGCTCCTGGCCATATCTAGAGAAATCTTGAGCACCTCAGAGCCAGTTGACTTCGAGATCGAAGCGGATGAATCCGTGATGTGCTTTTAACATTCAATCCGTAGTCAAATTGGCATGGAAACTGAAAAAGATCTTATCTCAAGTTCGCATTCTTTGATGGACAGCAGGAACTCTGGGAAGCAGAAGAGCAGGGAAAGGAAATCGAGCAAAACTTGCTCTTTTACTCACCCTTTTTTTCGCAGGAAAAGGAGGTTTGTAGTACATTGTATATGGGATCACCTAATGTCTGGCAGTTACTGTAAGCCTCGTCTGGTTCCTGTAATTCTGCGCTCGCCTTAAAGCCAAGCTCAGACTTACTCCAGTTGCTCTCCATAGAATTCATGTATTCAGCTCCACTTGCTGCTTCTTCCACCCGATGGGCAGTCTTGCCATGCTATACTAATGGCAACGGAGAGCGAACCACTTATGCTAGCATGTGCCGTTTATTGCATTTACGTACGTTGTGGAGGAGGCGCATTTACAGCGGTGACAGGAG